TTGAACCACCAGCCTTCTGGTTAGCAGTCAAATGCCTTAGGCACTATGCCACCAGAACTCCCACATAAATTATATTTCCATAAAATTTATTTAAAAATAAAAAAGAAAAGAGTGACTGTGAAAATGATAATAACAAGAACTAAATTGTTCTGGAAAATGAATCTGTGATATTGGAAGCCAGAATAGTGTTTGCTCTAGGCAGAGGTAAGAGAAGGGTTATCGTAATTGGGAAGGGACATGGATTACTGGTAATATTCTGTTTCCTGAGGTGGATGCTTGTTACACAGGTATGTTCACTCACAATTCATTGAGCTTTGTGAAAATTCATTTCTGATTTGTGTTAATTTCTGTGTGTGTGTACTTCAATAAACTATTTTTTAGAGAGAGGAAATAAAAAGAACTAATCTGTTCTAAAAGAAAACTAATTTAAAGAAAAATAAAGTTAAAAAAAATCCTATCTAGAGAGTGCAGAAGTTGGCAAAAGTTTGTGTCCCTGGCTATGTGGTGAGAAGGACATAGACCCATTTTTCAAAAATCATTTTTTTAAGATTGGCAAGGCTTTACATAAATTAAACTCTAAATATCAAAGGTCTCTAAGAAAAGTGCCTTAAATCCTTATTGAAACTTTAAGTTTATCCTAAAAGACCAATAACATTTTAAATTTGTTGGAAGATCCCACCAAGTGAAATGCTTAATAGCATACTAAAAGAAGAGGAGAATTTTATAGTTCCAGTTTCATACAGGGAGCTCTGGTGGTGCAGTGCCTAAGGCATTGGACCGCTAACCAGAAGGCTGGCGATTTAAACCCACCAGCAGCTCCTTGGAAGGAAGATGGGGCAATCTATTTCTGATCGTTTGAAATGCCACCTTGTATGTGTGTATTTGCATATTTCCTAGAAAAGGCAGTAATATGACTACCAAAAGACCAATTATAGGGTGAACACACAATTGATTTAATTAACTTTGGTCCCACTACAGTGGAATAACCAGGAATTCTCCCAAATGAAACAAGTGAATGGCATAGGTGGAAGCCAAGGACTCTCAAAAGTCAGGGCACAATTAGGAAGAAAAGAGACTAAGGGCTGCACTGAATCTGTGGAAGGTCAAATGGAAAAGCCTGGCTCCAGGAGCTACAACAGGTAGTTAGCTACCTTGCTCTTCCAGAAGGACTCGCACAGCTGAGTTTTCTTCTACTTTTTTCCTGGCTGCTGCTGCTTCTTCTTCTGACCATTGCATATGATCCCTAACAAAAAAGAACAAGATTGTAAAGCATGCTTTATAATGCAAAAAAGCAGAAAAAGGGTGACAAGGGGCACATCTTTCATTCTGGATTAGTCAAAGACAGATGACACCAATTCATTTCATGCTCTATGAATATATTTTGTGTCAGATATTCCTTTTAATAGTGTTGGTAGAACCCTGAAACTCCTGCGGTTCTTCTGCTGAAATCTAGCTGTGCTGTAAGCCCCAGCCATGGCTTGGAGATGGCTGCTGATGCACTGTCCCCAGAAACTCTAACCAAAACAAACAAACAAACAAACCTGCAAACTTGCTACCATCAGGTTGATCCAATTCATAGTGACCCCCATCGGGTTTCCAAGGCGGTAGATCTTTATGGAAGGAGATTGCCTCATGTTCCTTCCGCAGAGCAGCTGGCAGGTTTGAATCACCATCCTTCTGCTTAGCAGTCAAATGCCTTAGGCACTGTGCCACCAGAGCGCTTTTCCAGAATACTCTGGTGTCTGGTTATTTGGATGTTGGTACAGTTTTCTGTTTTCTACTCTAAATCTACATTTATTTGCGTTTTTGTTAATTTATGAATAGGGTATTCTTTAATAGCTTTTTTTTTTTCTTTTTTAATGCTCCTTTTACATGTGTGTATTTTAATACTCTGCTGTCAGAGAGACAGGGTTTTTTTTAAAATATTTCACACTTCCCTATTTTGTCTTTTTTTTTTTTTTTGAGTAACATTGGATTTGTTTTTATTAATTATCTTAATTATTGTAAATGAATTCATTTACATTTAAATGATCATCTCACTGCCATGGATTTGATGTGACTCAAAGCAACCTCTCCCTGGGTTTCAGACGTAGTATGTCTACAGAAGGAGCTCTGGTAGCATAGAGCCTAAGGCACTTGACTGCTAACCAGAAGGCTGGCGGTTCAAACCCACCAGCCATTCCTCGGAAGGAAGGTTGGGCAATCTATTTCTGTAGTGACACTGCCTCGGAAACCCAAGGAAGGGTCACTGTGGGTCGGGTCCGACTCCACAGCACGTAACAACAACAACAACATGTCTACAGAAGTAGATTACCCAATCTTCCTTCTGAGCAGTGGCTGGTATGTTTGAACTGCCAGACTTCTGGTTAGCAGTCAAATCCCTTAGGCACTAGGCCACCAGATAGACTACTTGATATGGCATCAAGAATCACCTTTTTAAGATCTGGCACTTACTTTAAGTATCTTTCATTTCAAAATTTATTCTCCTCAGAAGGAAGGTTGGGCAATCCTACTTCCGTAGTGATACTGCCTCGGAAACCCAAGGAGGGGTCGCTATGAGTCGGGGCTGACTCGACGG